CGCACATTCATAAAAGTGTAACTGGTTTTAGTTTTCTCGAGACCTGTTTTCATTCAAGAAGCGCAATTGGTTGTAAATAGAATTTCACCGAAAATAAATAAAAACATATTTTTCCCAAGTCCTATCGTACCAAACTTGAAATATAAAGTGTCCCTACTCATATATCTTTTCTAATTGATGTTCTCCCATCGAACTGAAGTATGCTCACACATTGCAACACTTGTAGTTCCGCTTCTGACATTGAGACTCTAAAGTATGTAGAAAATTATAACTTGATGGTACAAATTTTGACACCAAAATTTGCCACAGCACCCACATAATAATTTTATCATTCCTTCATTAAATAATTCATTCACAATGTTGCCTATTTGCTAGTCAATTACAACCACAAAATGAAAATTACATTTACGTTTGCTTTTTAAAAAAAAAAAAAATTGTGTGAGTGAATTATGCATTTCAACGAGGATAACTTGATATTATAAAATAAAAGTTTGGAGGGAATTTTGTAACGATGTGAAAAGAATATGGGTGTTTTTTTTTTTTTTTTTTTTTGCATATTTTTTCAAATATGAGGTAAAAGTGCCACGGAGAGTATACATTAAGGGTGTTTTTTTTACGTGACCCTTTTTTTTTTTTTTTTTTTGAATTTTGGTGTGAATGAATTATGTAATTCAAAGAGGATAAATTGATATTTTGAAATAAGAGTTTGGAGGGCATTTTGAATCTAAATAATAATTCTCGATTCATGTATAATTATTTTGCTTAACTAAACTAAATTGAAAAATAAACTCGAAAAATAGACCACTTTGTTATTTAGGAATCCCAACTCAATTTAAATGTAGTTTCCCCATTTAATTTTTGTTTAGAAATTCACGAAACTATCAAAATTGGCCCGTATGGCCCCATTCTCCATAGAGCGTTTGAATTAATTCTAATTGTAACGCTAAAAAAAATGATTTGCAAATTACGGGATATATATAGAGTCAAATGCAGAAAACACCCCTAAAGTATGCTTACAGTACATATCACACCCTTCATGTACAAAAAACACCCATAAAGTTTCAATTTGGTGCAAATAGGTCCCTCTGATAAATTTAAACCCTAAGTTGACTAAATTACCCTTACTGGACCATTTTATAAAATATATGTAACGACTCAAACCCGAAGGTCCGAATCGCTAATCGAGTCCTTACCTAAACCCAAGGTCAACAAAAGACATTACAATTCTTTCCTATGGCAATAAATAATATATGTGTCATCCCAGGGTTTATAAATAATAATAATAATATGAGATCATAGCTACAAAATAGATCAAACAATCCACTAACCCATCAAGACCTGTAGAGGAACGTCGTCCACCACTTCCTTTCCCAAATCTGAAAAATGTTAAAATAATAGGGTGAACATAAGCTCAGTAGGAGGTGTCTAAGACACACCTCTTATGAACCTGTGAATCCACGTATAGAATAGAAAACAAGAGAACGGGATCATACTATACCGGAAATGTATACCATAACCACAACATCCAATATAAACACATATGCCATTCAAGTCACAAACACGCCATGTATGCCAATGAAATGCAATGCCATGCTCATGTCACTCTCCATTTCTGAAACATTTTCGTTTCAACATCTAAACCGTTAGTGTAATCCGACCCAAGGCACCTCCAAGGTGTCACGAGGGAGGGGTTGGCTAGTTTTTCCCCGACCACATGGCACTTCCATAGCGTCGTCTAGGTAGCTCAAGCACACTAGAGTCTCTCTCTAATCCCCTTCTAGATCACACTAACACCACGGACCACTAGGCGCCTCCTAGGTGTCCGAGTTTTCGCAAACGCTTTTAGAAAACATTTTCCAAAAATTTAATTTCCTTTGTTTTGAAAACACTTTTCCCATTTCTCTTTCCAATGAATGCAAGAATGCTCCATGTTTCAAATCATCAATTCAACAATAAAATTTTCACACATACTATCCAACATAATTTTTTCAAAACACATAACTCATGCTTTCAATCGACATCAATTTAACATTGTAAGCATTTAAAACATAAATTTAACTTCACATAAGTATATATATAATCACTACACAACAAGTAACAACTAACAAGTATTCATGTGTTACATAACCGACATTTAAATTAGTTTTGCAAGAGATTATACAAATTGAGCATGCTTAACATCAAATTAAACAAGAAAACTTACAAAAGTACAAAAATTTTATGTATTAGAACACCCCTACCTTGAAAAAAAAAAATTTCCTCACTAGATCATCAAAGCCTCAAGCTTTCGGCCTTCTCTGCAACCTCACGGCTTCTCTTTGCAACTCTCGTCTCTCTGTGTGTCTCTCGGCTCACTTTGTTTTCCTCTATTTTTTTTCTTTTTCCTTGTATCATTACCAAAGTTGCAAAACATACTCTTTATAGAGACAATTCCACTAACACCCAACAAAAACGCTCACCACTCAAACAAAATGTTAGCCAACAAAACCCACGTGAATAAAGCAATACACTCATTTCAAGCCTATCAGACAACCCCCCCCCCCCCCCCCCCCCACCCCCACCCCACGTGAAGGACTAAGTTAAAAGAATTTATGGCCATAAAATCAATTTTGTGGGCCCCACTAATCATTACTTTTTCCCTTTTTCTTTTTTTTTTTTCTCTAAATTTTCGGCTGGCAGCACACATTCTTCTTATCTCAAGGCAGATGCAATATATATATATATATATATATATATATATATATATATATATAAATGCTTACAAGACCACATCAAGCTCCTTAGTGGACCCCACGAATTGAAAACGTCAAAACCCATTCTTCCCACATGCGGCTGACCTGTTCCTTCTTAACAAATGCAATGTATATTATATATAATATATATATAAATACAATTGCATAAAACAAATCCATTCCCACTAAAAATCTACTAATGGACCCCACAAAATTCATTACCATTTCAAACTTATCTTCCTTTCCTTCTCTCTCTTTGAATTTCGTCTAAGTGCCCATTTTCCTTTACCATGTGAAACTAATACTATAAATATATATAAGCACAAAATCAAATCAATTCTAAAAAAAATCACCAATAAAAGTTAAATACTCAATCTTAGCAACTAAAAATTATGGAATAAATTAAATTAAAATCTTAAAAATCCAGGTTATCACAATATATATAACAATAAATAATATTCTAAAATGACAGAAAATGACACTATTAAAGGACACCCTTCACGTGCAAAAAATACCTCTAAAGTTTCAATTTGGTAGTTCCTATGACAAATTTAAATTCTAAGTTAACTAAATTACCCTAACCGGACCATTTTATAAAATATATAAAAATAAATAATTTTGTAAAATGACTGAAAATGACACTATTGAAGGACGCCAATAATGGACGAGTAAAGAAAAAAATAGAAAATAAAAGTATAAAAGATAAATAAAGATAATAATATAAAATAATAGAAAATAAAGAATGAAATAAAGTACAAACTAAAGAAAACATATCTGCTCCAAACTCCGAAAGCCAGTGCACAACGATTTTTTTTTTTTTTTTTTTTTTTTTTTTTTTTTTTAACAGTGTTGGTAAGAAAAAGAAAAAAATTAGTAGAAAATAACAAACTGAAATCTCAAAAAATTCAAATCATTAATCTACAAATTCTCAAAGTTTTTTTTTTTTAAATGAAAAAAGTTTAAAGATATATATAGAGAAAAGAGTATATATATATATATATAATTATATTAGTAGTATATATATCCCATTGGGCATTTTCAGTAGAGTAAAAAGGCAAAACAAGTATTATAGCAGTTGTTGGGGGAGAAATTCACGTGGTCCGATATGACCAGAAACGGCTTGCAGCATTAGAACTACAGGTCCAAACTCTGAATCAGGGTATGGACCAGTTGATCAAGCAAAATGCAGAGATCCTGCAACATCTTATCCCAGCGGGACCACCACCTCAACAAGAATTGTCCGACCCATATCTTCCCAATCTAAATGATGGGGGAGAAAATGAGGAGGACCGAGAAAACGACCCTCCTCACAAGTTCGAGGTAGAACCAAGCCAAGTCGGAAATCGACACAGAGAACCTCCTTCTCCGCCTCCGCGGAATCCCCAATCTCAAACAGGCACAACCTTCTGTGTTAAGGAAAAGACAGAGAAAGTTACCTATTTCGACTTGCAGATCAGGGATCTCAAGGCGAAAATGAAAGATGTAATGCAGGCTATGAAAGAGAAAGGTCTTGCCGCCATAGATGACCAGGTGCAGAGGACCAATTTGCCGTTCGGCCCTGTCGTTATGAAATGCCCTCTATCTTTCTTTTAGACCTCCGGTGACTGACTTGATCGTCGAAGGGTTCTTAGCAAGTACCACACCGGTGCCGTCAAAATTCACCGATCTTCTACTCTTTTCTTTGCAGGAAAACGGTGTCGTATCGAACCGCGTGGATTTCTCCCCCAGCAGCAGTAATTTATGTTATATTTTTTTTTTAGGGGTATTTTTGCATAATTTGAAAAAAAAAAAATAATAAATAAGAGTATTTTTTGCACACATTTTTAAATAGGGAATAAATATGCTATGCTGAGTATACTTTAATGGTATTTTCTGCACTTGTCATATATATATTCTCCTAATTATGTAAAAACCATTTTAATAGTTTTAATTTCCTCAATCTATACTCTACTGTAGTTGGATCGAGATAAGTGGGAAATTGAGGAAAATATATACTTAAAATATTCATCAAAGATCAGTTTGGAGAACCTAAATTTACATGCTCTTTGATTAGGCAACTAAAAACCATCTTTTTTTAATTTTTATGAAACAGTTGATTGACAAGACTTGGTTTTGCAATTGGTGTTGAAAATGAAATGAGTGGACAGTATATAAATGTCCAAGTCAAGATTGACGGCCAAGTTCCATTATTGTGGCAGCGACGTTTGTGGCCGCTTGTTGATATCTTCATTTCCACTCTTTTACATATATTTGAACTTGCTAATTCATCATAAGCTCCATTGTTTCCATTAATTTGTGATCAGATAGATGATGATGAGTACCCGCATTGCTCCTTTCTTGCTTTGGCTACTATCCTCAACTGCCTTGTTCAACTTGAGGCTATTACTATTATGTGATGGGATTAATATTCCAGATGACGAAGTTGTTTGCAATGAAAAGGAAAAACGAGCACTTCTAAGCTTCAAACAAGGTCTCACTGACCCTTCAAACAGGCTATCCTCATGGTTTGTGGAACAAGATTGTTGTACATGGACAGGAGTCCGGTGCAACAATATTACTGGTCGAGTCGTCGAGCTTCACCTCCACAATGACCACTCTCTTGATGACTATGAATCTTATCAGGCGCACTCGTTGGGTGGGAAGATCACTCCCTCTTTGCTGGAATTAGAATATCTGAGTTACTTGGACTTGAGCAACAATGATTTCACAGGTGCTAGTGTTCCAAGTTTCTTAGGTTCTATTGGAAGTTTGAGATATCTCAACCTTTCTCTATCGTTTTTTGAGGGGTTGATTCCTCATCAGCTTGGGAACCTCTCGAACCTTCGTTTTCTCGATCTAACTGATCATAATCTACTTTCTGTTGATGGCCTTAGTTGGATTGCTGGTCTTCATTCCTTGGAATTCCTTGACATGAGTGGGATCGACCTTCACGAGGCAGCTGATTTGTATCAATCCGTTAGCAAGCTCAAATCCCTTTCAGAACTACATTTGTCCGGCTGTGGACTCAAAGGGCTGATTCCTCATCAGCTTGGCAATCTCTCAAGCCTCCGTCATCTCGACTTAAGCTATAATGATCAACTTTATGTTGATGACCTTAGTTTGATCGCTCGTCTTTATTCCTTGGAATACCTCGACATGACAGGGGTCAACCTTAGCAGGGCAGTTGATTGGCTTCAAGCGGTGAGCATGCTTCCTTCCCTTTCACAACTATATTTGTTCGACTGCAAACTCGAGAAAATATTAATTCCAACTCTTGCTCGCGTTAATTTTTCATCTCTTAAAGTCCTTGATCTTTCTCACAACCATTTTGAGTGCGAGATACCAGATCAGTTGTTTAATCTCACCAGTAGCCTTGTGCATGTTGACCTATCTCACAATTTCCTATATGGTCATATACCTAGAAGCATTTCAAATCTTCACATGTTGAGCTATTTAGATTTCGAAAAAAATATTCTTAGCGGGCAAATCCCAGACGAGCTTGGGCAATTGAAACATCTTGAATATGTGTCACTTATTCGCAACTCATTGTCTGGTCCCATTCCAGCATCTATTGGAAACTTATCGGCCTTGAGAGTATTATTTCTTAATGAAAATCAATTGAATGGCTCTTTTCCAAAGAGTGTGGGATTCCTCTCGAACCTTGAGGAATTACACGTAGGTCAAAATTCCATATCAGGCATTGTTTCCGAAATCAATTTTGCCAAACTCTCAAAATTGAAAATTTTGGAAATGTTTTCGAACCCTCTCTTCTTCAATGTGACTTCCGATTGGGTTCCTCCTTTTCAACTTGATGAACTTCGGATGAGCTCCTGCGAGATGGGTCCAACATTTCCTTCATGGCTACGAACACAAGCATCTTTGTCTGCGTTAGACATTTCTGAGTCGAAAATTTCGGATGTAGCTCCGGAATGGTTGTGGAAGTGGGCGTCACGAGTTGAGTCTGTCGATCTCTCCAACAATCACATAAGTGGAGACATATCCAACGTGTTGCTAAATTCTACCGTTGTTGAATTGAGTTCTAATCTTTTCAAGGGTCAGTTACCACATTTGTCTCCAAATGTTCTAATGTTGAACCTTGCAAACAATTCTCTCTCTGGACCCATTTTCCCATTCTTGTGCCAATATATGAAAGGAGAAAGTATGTTGGTAGTTCTAGACCTATCGAATAATTTATTATCAGGCGAACTTCCTCATTGTTGGATGCATTGGCAAAATCTGGTTCATGTAAACTTGGGTAGGAATCACCTATTCGGTAAAATTCCTAATTCAATGGGTTCGTTAAGCATGCTCGAGTCATTGCAGTTGCACAGTAATAAATTTCTTGGAGAACTACCTTTATCATTGCGGAACTGCACCGTATTGAAGTTCATTAATTTAGGTGAAAATGAACTTTCCGGACTCATTCCAAGTTGGATCGGAGAATTGTTAAGCTTGGGGGTTCTCGGCTTAAGATCCAATAAATTTATCGGCAATATACCATCACAAATATGCCGCCTTTCTAAGCTTATAATTCTAGATCTTGGGAATAATGGCCTATCAGGACCAATACCAAAATGCTTCAAGAATATCAGTGTGATGACTATGACAAATTCTTCACATCATTACGCATTCAGAACTACGCGACTTTTTACGAGTACTCTTTCTGAATTCTACATGAATAGTTTCTCATTGGTGATAAAAGGGAGGGAAGCAGAGTATAATAAAAACCTTGGACTTGTTAGGTGCATAGATCTGTCAAGTAATAATTTATCCGGGTCCATCCCGGATGAGTTTTCAAGTCTTCATGCGTTGCAATATTTAAACTTGTCTCATAATCAAATTACGGGAAAGATACCGAAGAATATTGGTGGCATGGCAATGTTAGAATCTTTTGATCTCTCGAGAAACCATCTTTCGGGTGAAATTCCACAAAGCATGTGTAATTTGACATTTCTCAGTTACTTGAATTTGTCATACAACAACTTTTTTGGAAGAATTCCTTCGAGTACCCAACTTCAGAGTTTTGATGCAACTAGCTACATTGGCAATGCTGAACTTTGTGGAGTCCCTCTCAACAAGAGTTGCACAGGAGAGAGAGAATCTCAAGGTCGAGGTGTGGCATTAACGAAGAAAGAGGAAGATAAATATGAAATGATATGGTTTTATATCGGCATGGGTCCGGGATTTGCAGTTGGATTTTGGGTTGTTTGTGGTACTCTTCTGCTCAAGACGACATGGAGGCATGCTTATTTTCAGTTTCTTGATCGCATGGAAGACCAGATGTACTTGGCCATAATGCTGAAGGTGAATAGCATCCGTAGGAAGTTCAAGAGATCCAATGATGCATAAAGTACTTGGCCATCCATCATCTTCTACAAGGTATTGCTTCCACATTTCTTTCCTTCAGAGTTTCTTTTTCGTTCTTGCTGTTGCTACTGTGTTCTTGTTGCTTTGCTGTCATGCTCATGTTATATAAGTTAGCACTTTAAATTAATTACGCCTTATGTTAAACCCTTTTAAAACAATAATAACAAGGAAAAAGAAATAAAAATTTCGAAAAAACTAAATCAACTTAAACCATTATCCTTCATTTACTCTAAACCTCTTTAATTCAAGAAATCAGGGTTCGGCATGTTAAAACAATATATTTACCTTAAATAATTGCCAATGCTTAATGCGACACGAGAGTTATAATATATTCTTTTTCTCCGTAGGAAAAAAAATAATAATATTACATTATACTACACGGTTTAGTATTTAATCAATTCAAACAAAAAAAACACATAAACAATGCTCACAAAATAACAATCAGGAAAAGTTCGAGATGAACAATGGGAGGTAATATTTAAAGTGCTCGCCCTTTTATAATGTCGAGGCTCATTTCGCTGGGATCTGTTGCTTGCAACTCGACTTGAATGCCGTCCAGTTCCCTCTTGAATCTATCCTTGGAACTGGCATAGACCATCTTCATTCTCACCTTTGATGTGTCTGGAGACCTAAAATCACAAGAAAATCAGATTACTACATATAACTTTTTCACTGTCCCCTGCCTATTTACCAAAGAAAATTAATTGTCACATTTGTGTCCACAAAAAATTGGATTCACATAATAATTAGAGAAATAGAGGAATTCTTTGTTGTTTTTCTAGACTAACCCTAGTTCACAATATTCAATCTAACCACACTCGTGATCTTACAGTCTCGGCTCTGTCACCACAAAGCAACAAGGTCACCAAACAAGAAACCTATAACACATGAATCTCTAGGGAATTCACTAAATCTTCAAAAGACTTTTGGTTTTCTTCAAAGGGAATTCACTTTAGTTTTCCCATTCTTGGCAAGGCATAGGCACATTTTGAAACCCGCTAATCCCTTTTCACTAAGAATATTGATTTGAAGTCCGAAATTATTGTGGGTAAAGACTGACATCATCATGATATTATTAATATCGATAATGTCATGATGATATCAGCCCTTACTTACATAAAATTAGTCGAAATTATCCTACTACCTATCATTACTCATTCTCTAATCAGGTCTAGGTTCTAGAGTCTGAGCAAATAAAGTATGTGCTTATATTTCTAATATATGTGTTACTCGAACTTAATTCTAGCTTGTATGATTAAAATGTAAATATTGAGCGGATGTATTACCAAGCGATAAAGAAAATCTTGCTTTTTTGGCAATTTTCATCTGTAACGAAATCGAAATCAAAGACAGCATAGCGACACTCATCAGCAGGCAAAGAGGCAGTGAAATCATCATAGCTTTCTTCTGGACTTCCTAACTTCTCCACAACCACTTGTTGACGCTCAATCTTAAAGATAATGAATCGGTAGTTCCTCTTTGCTTTTAATTCCAAGAATTTCAGCTTACACTCATCCTCAACCGCCATTCCAGAAGCCGAATTCGCCTGTCCAAATAATATTAATACAAGGAAAAATTAAAAATGAGAGAGCTTATGCCAAAAAAATAAAAATGCTTACAAATTTATTGTAGCCTTGGTGGTATGCCAATAAATGAGTCATATATAATCATGTACATTATTAATATACAGTCATATATATACACAGTCAATTTCAGCTTTTGATGTATTAATCAACATATACTATTTATTCTTCTGTTCTACAATCAATATATATACATATATACTTAAACTTTCCGAAATTCACTTTTTAAAATAACAAATGCAGCTCAATCAATCAAATTGAGGTGCTAACTCATTGTTGTTAATAGAAAAGCAAAAAAATGTATAATTTTCGTTTATGATATGGTCCAATGCAAACTTTCATATCTGACCATGATGAATACACACACACAAAAAAAAAAAAAAAAAAAAAAAAAAAAAAAAAAAAAAAAATGGTCATGAAACCATTGTCTAAAGAGATCTCTATAATTTTTCTCAAACATCACAATAAAATTAAAGAAAATGAAATGATGGAGAGAGATACCATTGTGTCGTCCAATGAGGATTAAGAGCTCTGCAAAATGAGAAGAAGAAGAAAGAGGAGAGAGAGATGAAAGTATAGGAGAGGAGAGATCCTTGAATTTGGGAAGACATGAGAGGTGGGTTACTTTTCTTTTAAAAGAAGAGAAAATTGCGGGGAAGAAGAGAATTTTGAGGGGGAAAATAAGGGTTGAGATTTGTCTTTGCATCTGAGGTTAATCATGTCCACAACTAGCTATTTCATTTTCCATTCAACATGTGCATTAGCAATTTTAGTTAATTGTTATGTTTTTCACATACGCTTGTTTTGGATTTTTTTTTCATTGGAGACCCAAAGTTGAGAGTGTTTTTTTTTAACTTTTTTATTTTTTTAGCAGTGATACACATCATGAAACAAATTTCTAGATTTGCATCATGAATGGTATTACGACAACGTTTCTACTTTTTTGCTGCCTAAGTCCATTTTGACCAACACTTATAAGCCCTACTCATCACGTCACTTTCTCTCTTCCATCCTTCTTACCTGTTTTATTTTTTCCTAAATCATTCAGTTGACCTTCTTCGTTTTTTTTTTTTTTTTTACCTAAATCATCTTATTTAACTTTCTCTCTCTCAAAATTCTCCCAACAAAGCATCCGTCCTCACTAACAAAAATACATGGCATTACACCAAAGTGGTTGGACACTTTACATCTTGCAATATACACATACATTTAGACAACCCGATTTCACTGTACCGCCAACATGATGTTAAAAGTTGTTCTTTTGTTTCTGAAAAAAATATATTATATAATAATAAAAATCTTAAAAAATTTCCGGGTTTCATTCTCTCTCCCCTATTTTTTCTTTTAAAAATTTGCTTTTAGATTACACCAAGCTGCCAACTCACATGCCACATCATTCATGATGCATTATCATAAAAATCATTCATGATATTTATCATTTTCCATTTTTATTAGGTAACTACACATATTGCCTAGGTCGGCTCCAAAGTCCAACCCCTCCCCCTTAAAAATACTCTCTGAATACCAAAATAAATCTCTCTTTACAAAAATCTAACTTTTTAAAAAGATAAGTTTTAGTATTTTTCTTTTTTTATTGTATTGGCAGATAGTGAATGAATTACCAAATTTAACCATATTAAGTCCACAGACATGTAATGGTTTAATTTTAATAACTTCAATGCAAGAATATTAAATTGATAATGTTAAAAAAAAAATATTACTTTATTGTTTTAATTGGGACATTATTTATTTATTTATTTATTATTATTATTATTTATTTTTTTGGCGAAAATTTAAGGACTGACATTAAAAATATAAGGTTATAAAAACGGACCTTCGGCCGAAACCCGGAAGAGTGACAAGGACTAACTAAAGCCCAACAAGAGCAAAGAAAGGCATGCAAGCCCGGCCCAAAGGACCTATTAGAAAACCAACCCCATAAAACAAAACAGAAACCACCATTAACAACCCAAAACCGCAGAAAGCCATTAACGGTGTGAGACTGTGCATCGTTCCGGTAGTAAGCCCTAGACGAGTTTGCAGCAAGAAAATCAATCCGGCGGGCGCGGTGGTGGACGGCAGCAAGACGGCGAAAGGTTCCAGTCCAATAGAAGGCTTCACCTATTAGAAATCCAGCAAGACTAGCTCAAGGCGGGTTCACATGCAGAAATGTGTTACTTTGTTTCCTCACTGTACAACCTTATCGTTACCCAGTAGATTACCTAGATTTTCTATTATATCTGGAAAAAAAAAAAAAAAAAAATTATCTATTATATCATATTGATGTGATTAAATTTAATAGTAACATACTAGATAGTTTCATTTGAATGTTTGCACTAAAAATCATAATACACAATTACACATGTGATGCATTTTACTAGATTATTTGTGATGTATAATTCATATTTTGATATCATATTTTTCATGTATATTTAGGTTGTCGATGCTTGAGATAGATTTTATTTTTTTTACTTTGGTAATGGTTAGTGGGGTTAGGAAGTTAGATGTTTGGTAGTAATGAATTAGTTTAAAAAGTTTTCGACACGTGTTATATTTTTATTGATCTATGTTAGCATCGGTAGGACATTCTTAGTTATGCGACCCGAGATAAGTTAGAAATTGAATTTTTTTTACTCATTTTTTAAAAAATTAAATTTCCAAAAAGACATATTTAATTTGGAATGATGTATACTGAAATAAATGTTCATAATTTCTCTAATTGAGTCAAATTTATTATAATGATAGTGCCTATTATATTTTCCTATTAGGTTGTGTCACTCATTTCACTCTTTCAACTTTTTTGAGGTGTAAAGGAGAAGGCTAGCTCGTGCCATTGGTGATTGATTGTCTCGCTTTCAGTTGGAGTATTTTTATTTGTTTATTTAGCTTGTGAAGAACTTCATTTCTCTCGTTGAATTATGTTTGAACATTCTCGTATAAAGGAGGTGTTTGGGTAATCTTTCCCGCCTCTAAGATGTAATTAATTATCAAATTTGCTTTTAGTTATTCTATTATTTATTGAACTTATGGGCAATTGAAATTGATGTGAAATATGTTGAGATGAGTTGTCGACTTTTGGACTTTAAATTATTTTTTAAAATTTATATTATTATTATTATTATTATGATTGTTATTATTAAATTTACAAAGAATTTATATTCAAGTTTTAGTCTCTATTACGTGTTTATTTATTTATTTTAAAAGGATTTCTATAAAAATAGTTTCTTGACAATATTTAAAATACTTCAACTATTACAATTTTTAAAATTATTTTACTACTAAATGTCTAATTCTTGGGTTTCTAAAATTCTTCACTCAATTAATTATTTTGGAAAAATAATATTATTTTGGGTATATACACGTGTAAGTGCAAATTTATTTGACTAAGAAAAGTCAAAACAATTACAACAAACTAATAAATAAAAACAATAATTATTGAATTTTGCTCATAGTTTATTGTGAGGTCTTGGCTTTTATTCATAATGAATTTCAAAGTTAAATTGGGTTAAGATCTAAATCACACAATTTTTCTCAACAGGTGTCGCTATCATGTTCCGAGCGTACTCTCACTTTGCATACGCTCTTGCTCAAATTTCCACTGCCGTCAAATTTCTTACATGATATTTATTGCCTCGTACAATTCAAATTGAATTTGGGTTCCAAAAGTGAGACAGATCTTTTGAATAGTGCCGAGCCTTAACCGTCCATTACCGTTTGCCATCTTTGCTGGACCTCAGAATTTGGGCTTTGCTAATGAGCTTGCGATTCTATCCTTGCTCGGTCCATATTGGAATATTTGACTGTGATCCATGTTTGGTGACATGTCATGTCCTTATTGGAGGAAAAAATTTCCCTTCACAAATGTATTTAAAATAAAAATATATGTGAAAATAATATTAAAATTTGAGTTCGGGATGGGCTCTGGATGCCAGGACCTCAACTCAAGATCAACCCTAATTAAATTCAGATTTGAGATTTTTCAACCCAAACCTAACCTTAATTGTATAAATAATTGTCAAAGTCAACAATTTTTTTCCTGAGGATGGTGATGGGAAATGGAATTTCCAACCCAACCTGCCCCATTGCCATTCCTAAGAGGCCGTGGAGATGGGAGAGGGTATAAATGAAGTATCGAGTTGTTCCAAATCATTCTTCTAAATCTATATTATTATTTTATTATTAAAAGTATAAAGAATTTCTATCCAATTTTTAGTTTATATCATGTATTTATTTTAAAACAGTTTCTAAAAAATATACATATTTTTTTAAAATTCTAGGATTTCTAAAATTCTTGACAATTTTTAAAATTCTTCCACTATTACAAATTTTAAAATTATTTTACTACTAAACTAATAATTTTTGGGTTTCTAAAATTCTTCACACAATTAATTATTTTGGGACGTCAATGTTTATGTGCAAATTTGCTTGACTAAGAAAAGTCAAAACAATTACAACACACTCAAGAATAAAGACAATAATTGTTGAATTTTGCTCATACTTTACTATTGTGAGGTCATTGCCTCTATTTGTAACAAATTACAAGGTTGAATTGGGTTAGGATTCGAAGTTCTTACTAACAATATTTGTTACTTGTTCAATTCTATATGATTTACATATATAAATGAATCAACAAGTCATTTCTCAAATCGAATTTGGGTTGCAAAAGTGGGCCAGATCTTTTGAAAAGTGCTGAGTGTTAACCCATGGTCCATAACCCTTTGCCATCTTTGCTGGACTTCAGAGTTTGGGCTTTGCTTTTGAGCTTGCGATTCTATCCTTGCTCGGTCCATGTGGAGTATTCGATTGTGATACCATGTCTCGTGACTTGTCATGTCCTTATTGGAGGAAAAAAATTTCCCTCCACAAATGTATTTAAAATAAAAAATATATCTGAAAATAATATTAGAATTCGAGTTCGATTTGAGCTCGGGATGCCAGGGCTTCAATCCAAACCAAACCCTAATTGTAGAAATAACTTCAAAAAAATCAATGTGGACTCGCCCAACTTTACCCCTATCTTCAAGTATATATTATTAATTATTGGGTTTTGATTAATTTGGATATTTATAAGATTGTTTGGCTCCACCACGCATAAAACACACACCAAAAGAAATTAAAATCACACCTGAATTTTAAATGCATTCAATTCTAAATACTGATAAGAGCAGGGCCCAACACCCATTTGTGATTACAGAATATTATGGAAAAAAACATGTTCTATCAGCAATAAAGACCTAATTTTGCCAAATATTCCAAGAGACTAAAATACATTGATAAGAATTCTCTTCAAGAAAGAGAGCTTCAAATCCAATCCGATGACCAAAATATGGTCCCAATCTCATTTGGGATGCTATTAATGTGCCAAATTAGCATGTGTTTTCTTAAAATACCTTGTTCTAAGATCGAAAAATTGTTTTCTGAATGACAAATAAAGAATGAGTAAGAAATTAACAGCATTTTATATTTAATTTCAATTCCTTGTTAACTATTAATTTAATTTATTTTGTTTATCCTCTATCCATTATAAATCAAACCAACCAAAGTCTAAAGAGTGAGGATTATTAGTTGGGCATTGGATCCATATAAGACTTTTGGGATTCTTTGCTTGATTACAAAGGCTCATCATCACTGCAACTGTCCTCACCTGTTGTCACTTTCTGATGGCTCTATTCCTTCTCCTTTCTCACACCCTGGATTTTCTGAAGCCTTATTCTTTAGGTTACCCTACCAATGCTTGAGAGTGAAAGGCACGTTTGGGATGGGCAGCCCACTAAGTTTTACAGGTTAAAAATAAAAATAAAAAACACCATCCAAGAGAAATTATTGTATAGTTTTGAATTAATGTGTCAATTTTATTTAACTTTTTACTTATTTTGTGTGTTAATCAAGATCAGTTAAGACCATTATTCTCGGACTATATAACAATTTCTCAATCCAATGATATCTCAAATGATATCTCATCATTTTTGCATATGATGGTTACTTAAACGGGTAAAAAGAAAAAATGAGTAAGATAAAAAACAACTGGACACACTTTACAAATCACACCCAAAAACTTGTTTGTTTGGTGGAATGATTAACATTTGTTTTAGATAAAGTTTGTATGAAACAATAGTCAAAGGCCTAGCAAATTTTGATGATTTTTATCTACACTTATCTTGACTGTGACTCGAGAATTGACGGTGTATTAGAATTAAGGTTGGTTTTGTTCAATTTATATGATAACATATTCAAATTAAAATTAGAAGTCCATTTTTCTCCTCTTTTTAAGTTAAAACAAAAATACACCTATTATAATACAACGTGTTGCACAATAAAGTTGTATGATGTAATTGATGTAATGTGATATATGATATTGTGACCTCTGTCCTATTTTAGGTGTCGGTTTTAAGACTTATGACTCACAAACAGAAGTAGTAGTATATTGCATTCTAACTTTTCGATATCAATATTTTTCAAAAAAGTTTCGTTATATTTAGACTCTATTTGTTTTAATGTAAAATATTTTTTTTTCATGTAAAATATTTCTTTATTTTTACTTTGGCAAAGGTATACGTTGAGGTTGAGATCAAGTCAACGGGGCATGTAAAATAACTTGTCGAAAATTGATGAATAAGTTATTTTTTAAAAATTTTAATATTTGTTTTTTTCGTTAATATTTTAAGACAACGAAATAATAGAAAATAAAAAATATATTTTTTAAATAATATTTTATGTCCAAACAAACGAAACATTAATAATAATTATATTTTGAGATAAGTCCTTGAAATGTCTACAATTTCAAATTTTATTTATTTATTTATTTATTTCTTTTGTCTCACTCTTTTAGGTAGATAAATTATAACATAAATTCAAGCTTATTTTGGCAAATAATTGCCAACAACTTTCAATTTAGTTGTAATGGACCATTATCTTGTTAGTTAAGAGTTAACATAATATCTCAAATAATTGCCAAATATCTTTTTCTGTAACATAAAGTCACATTATTTTTAGTTTTTTTTTTTTTTTTTTTTTTTTTTGAGGATAATATCTAGAGATTCTAGATTAATCTGTGCTGTAAAAGTGCTAGTCACGTGATCATCGTCCACCATGTGCACAAAGCCACCAACAATCACGTGCCCTTGTCAGAGCTAGACTACACTTGACTCCAAACGCTCTAACAGCGCGTGAGGAAACATTCCCACCCAATTTCAGACATTTTCTCACCATCCAATCAATACTCAGAAATCCAAAGCCAATAGGGTTTCTCAATTTCAAAATTCAAATTCCCACTTCGACCAAACGTCGCCGTTCCTAGCACCGTAACGGCAGTCCTCAACCGTTAACTCAACCCCTCCAATAAAACCTTCCTCTCTCCTCCCCCTCATTTCCCCCAATCCAATCCATCCACTGTCTCTCTCTCTCTAGAACTTCCTCTCTCTATCAGTTTCTCTCTCTACATCCATCTCCATCTTCTCTCTCTAGAAAAATGCGTGAGATCTTGCATATTCAGGGTGGCCAATGCGGCAACCAGATCGGAGCCAAGTTCTGGGAGGTCGTTTGCGCCGAGCACGGCATCGACTCAACGGGTCGCTACCAAGGCGACAACGATCTCCAACTCGAGCGAGTCAATGTCTACTACAACGAGGCCAGTTGTGGGAGGTTCGTCCCACGCGCCGTCCTCATGGACCTTGAACCAGGCACGATGGACAGCGTCAGATCGGGACCCTACGGTCAGATCTTCCGGCCGGACAACTTCGTGTTTGGGCAGTCCGGTGCGGGCAACAATTGGGCTAAAGGTCACTACACTGAGGGCGCTGAGCTCATCGACTCGGTCCTCGATGTGGTTCGCAAGGAGGCCGAGAACTGCGACTGTCTTCAAGGTATTGCTATGTTCTGTTTCAGTGTATTGCGTTTTTAGAAAGTGTTTTTTTTCAAATTGTTTTGCGTTTTTTTGTTGATTCTGTAGTATTGAAGTGGGTTTTCAGTAGATCTGGTGTTTTTGGTAGTGTATTGTTCTGGTTGACTGTCAGTGTTGTACAGTGTGTTTATTGTACTATTTAGATCTGAGTTTTTAGTTTTGAATTGCATAGTATTTTTAATTTTTATTTGTTTGATTTGATTTATATAATTATATATATGTTTTCTGTTTCTTTTGCTCTTTTTCATATGGTGTAGATGGTTTTTAGTGCATTTTAGTGAAGTTCTATATGCTGTTTTGAGGTATTTGGTGGATCTGTTATGTTGTACATGTAATTATTGTTTGTTTTCACTATTGTACATGTTGGTTTTAGTAATTCAATTTTATTTTTTCTTTCTCTGTTGTCATTGAAGGTCTATTCTGTGTAAATTGTAAGTGTTATTTGCATGGCTCTGTTCAACATTGTATACTTTTATTGACATTTCACAAGCTTTTGCCTGTGTTTGATTCCCATTTTAGTGTCATATAAGTTGTAGCATCTAATTCACTGTTGCTTGAATGTTCATTTTCTATGATACCCTTTTTTTTTTTTTTTTTTGTATAAGAAATTTATTTATTTATTTTGTTTGCTGTTTATTTGCTTTGCACCACAATGATTTTTGCCCCATTGATATCTTAAATATTTTGGTACCATGAAATAGAAAGTATTCAAGTTTGCTTAACTGCAATTTATGGTTTTCCTGATAAGAATCTTATAATTCAATGTTCATACCTCTCTTAGTATCCTGCAATTATTGGTGGCCAAACTGAGATGGATTTAGTTCAAGACATATTTTTCCCATTTTCTGTTATGCATTTTGAGTTCTCTCATTGTCTACTTTAGATTTGTATCTTTGTGTAGGATTCTATAATGTTTTGATACACTCGTTGGGTTTGCTAACATTTGTTCAAATTCTTTCAGGGTTTCAGGTTTGCCATTCGTTGGGTGGTGGAACTGGCTCAGGAATGGGAACCCTTCTTATTTCCAAGATTAGGGAAGAGTACCCGGATCGAATGATGCTCACTTTTTCTGTATTTCCATCACCAAAGGTGTCTGACACTGTTGTTGAGCCTTACAATGCAACCCTCTCAGTCCACCAACTTGTTGAGAATGCAGACGAGTGCATGGTTCTTGACAATGAAGCTCTCTATGACATATGTTTCCGAACCCTAAAACTCACCACACCCAGCTGTAAGTTTATTTCCCTTTTTCTCTGCCTTTCACCATATTTAGCATACACCATTTTTAGCATAAGTGAAGTAGATTTTAATTTTGTATTTGATACAATATGTATCTTTTGTGTTTCTTTTGGTAGCTTAATCTTTTTAATGTACTCTCTTCATCCTATGCAATTTCCTGAATAGATTAAGGTAGAGGATGAACCATTATTTATTGTGAGACCATTCTATTTTATGTCTTTAAAGTTGGCACAGTCTGTTGAATGCTTGTGTATCTGAAGTTACCTGATACGAGATTTGTTGCGCCTTGTTTGAGGCTGTGTCTTAGCAAACACTTCAATTGAAAATTTATAGACATTATGTTATGATGAGTAATTTTTAGCAGAAAGCCTGAAAAGTAATTGGCATTTTGTAACGTAGTTTATGCTAGTAGACTTTAACATGACTTATAAATTTTTTAAGTTTCATGAATAGAGATGACTTGGAGTTTGTTGCATTTTTCACTTTCTGTGAATTAGAATATTCAGTTAAGGTAGTCCAGGTGCCAACTTGTATCCAATTAACTGCACATGTGGGAGAATCTTTTTTTTAATGTTTCTGTTTGTTGCATCTTTGATTCTCCTCCCGTTATCTCTCTCATGAATATGCCTATATTATGAAGGAATCTGAAATATATAATATGCTTGGATCTGTTGTTTCTTATTCTTCGGATTCTTGTTGTTTAGAGTCGGGAGGAATAAAAGAACCTCAAGAGATCACATGCATGTGTTTATATTAACAATAGTTGCATACTTGGATGATATGCTAACTAGTTAGTTCTTTCTTTTTTATCAGTTGGAGACATGATATACTAACTAATCAGTTCCTTTTTGATCAGTTGGAGACCTGAATCACCTGATTTCTGCCACCATGAGTGGTGTAACTTGCTGTCTTCGTTTCCCTGGTCAACTTAACTCTGATCTCCGTAAACTTGCTGTCAACCTCATCCCATTCCCTCGGTTGCATTTCTTCATGGTAGGGTTTGCTCCACTCACATCTCGTGGGTCACAGCAATACCGGGCCCTTACTGTTCCTGAGCTCACCCAGCAGATGTGGGATGCCAAGAACATGATGTGTGCTGCTGATCCCCGTCATGGCCGATACTTAACTGCTTCAGCCATGTTCCGTGGCAAGATGAGCACTAAAGAAGTTGATGAGCAGATGATTAATGTGCAAAACAAGAATTCTTCCTACTTTGTTGAGTGGATACCAAACAATGTGAAGTCTACTGTCTGTGATATCCCTCCAACTGGTCTGAAAATGGCATCGACCTTCATTGGGAACTCCACCTCGATTCAAGAAATGTTCCGGAGGGTGAGCGAGCAGTTCACAGCTATGTTTCGCAGGAAGGCTTTCTTGCATTGGTACACTGGAGAGGGCATGGATGAGATGGAATTCACAGAGGCCGAGAGCAACATGAACGACTTGGTTTCCGAGTACCAGCAGTACCAAGATGCTACTGCAGATGAGGAAGGTTACGATTACGAAGATGAAGAGGAGGAAATTCAGGAGGCCTAAAGTTCTCCAGCCTCTTATTGTTGCAATTCTGTTGCAGATTTTATGTTTTTTTTTTTTTTTTTTTTTTTTTTCTAGGACACTCATTTGGAATTGAGTTGGTATTGTGTTTCTTGGCATATGCCTCTTGTTTGCTTGGTTGTCTTAGTTAACTGGTTTTATCTATATTGTTCAGTAAACTTAATGAATGCTTTTAGGTGAAGAAATTTCAGTAGAAATTATACTGCAAAAAGATACCTTGCTGTGTCATGTGTGCTGTGTGTGGATGCATTATTTTTTTTCAGAAAATTGTGAATTATTTTAAAGACAATTCTGTTGGTTGTGGCAATTTGTTGCGCACTTTGTTACAGTAAGAACCATTTTTCTTTAAAATCTGTTTGGGAATCAACCTAACCTTTATATTGAGTTTCAACCTCAAAAGCCATAAAAGCAAAAATATTGAAGCAAATTTAGAACAAAGAATTCCTAGGCTGAACCACCTCTCTTAACAACACTGTTCTTGATAGGAAACATGACATATATTGCAGTTTTCAATATTCAGCGTCTTCTGAATTTGACTGGCAAGCAATATGTATTACCCATATCTATATTATATATCAATTTATCATTACCCCCATTCCCGACTTGTCCAACAAAAATGACCCAGGCAAATAGCCCCTCTATGCCCCAAACTTGGGAACTTTAGCAGTTGAGATCTGAGCAAGGAAGTGCTCTGCCACAATCCGCCGTTGGATTTTCCCAGTGGCCGTCTTTGGGAGAGAATCGGTGATGAACACCTTCTTCGGCACCTTGAAAGCTGCAAGATTTTTCTTGCCAAACCTCATCACCTCCGCTTCATCAATTTTTGATCCTTCCCTTGGAATGACTGCACAATTTATCTGCAAAAAAACACATTGATGTCCAAAACGTGTTTAGCATTTGATCAACAAAAGAAACATATGCAAGTTTTTTGTAAAAGTCCAGAGGTTACATATGCTATTCTTTAGTCCGGATAGTATAATCTTTCTTCTCTCATCTCGAGAGGTGAGATTGAGAGTTCGAACCCTATTAAGAGTTGTTGGTAACGTGTGTGTGAAACCAAATATAATCAACTTAAATTCGAGTTTGACATTGTCATTTTAATCAAACAATGTGCAAGGCTTATATTTCTTACTTCTTCACCATATTTGTCATCGGGGACTCCATAGGCCACTGCTTGAGCAATGTCTGGATGAGACAATAGCACTGCGTCCACTTCAATTGGTGATATCTTCTCCCCTGAAGTCATAAAGAAGACAAATCATGTTAAAAAGAGACATTTTTCTTTAAAAGGAATACGAGTACAAAGAAAAAAAAAATATCTGTTTTCAAAAACCACTAATCAAATAATTTTTTTAACTTATCAGAAAGATTAAACAAAACAAAAAAACTAAAGTTTTCCAAATCAAAAGTTTTAAATTATATATCATGCAATGAATGCATTTCTTTAATAAAATGCATATGGTAGGTCGCCTATCATTGTATATTAACCTTGAAAGGAACTACCTTGGCAATAGGTTTATTATATATGTATGTGTAACGCGTGGTGTGACTGTGTGTGTATAATAAACATGTATAATAGCTATACCTCCCCGGTTGATCAGCTCCTTACTCCTGCCAACAAGATGCAGATACCCATCCGAGTCAAAATACCCGAGATCACCCGTATGGAACCACCCGAACCCGAAAGCTGACTTATTGGCTTCAGGGTTGTTTTTGTACCCTTTGGTCACATTTGGTCCCCTAATGCACACCTCCCCACTAGCCCCAACCTTTTGTTGAACACCATTTTCATCCAATATGGCCATCTCTTGACCCACGGGTTTCCCGACCGATCCGGGAACGTGCGGGCCATCTTCCGGTAACGGATTAGACGCCATCTGATGGGCCGCCTCCGTCATCGCGTACGCCTCCAACACTGGCGCCTCAAATGCTTCCTCGAGCCGAGCCAATATAGATGGAGCCAACGACGCGCTGCAGCTCCGAATGAACCGGAGCTTAGGGTAAACGGGTTCGGGTTTACTCAAGTGGCGATCCAGTATGATCTGGTGTATTGTAGGGACTGCAGTGTACCACGTGGCATTATATTTATTCATGTCTGACCAGAATGTTGAGGCCGAGAATCGGCTGGCGCCTGGGAGAGACACGGCTGCTCCGGCCCCGAGTGAACTCAGTAACCCAGCGAGTAGTCCGTGCACGTGAAATAGGGGGAGGACGATCACGGTTGAGTCAGACTCAGTGAGTTTGTATACCGATATAATGTTACGTACCGAGGAGGCCAAGTTGAGTTGAGTCAGTGGCACGCCTTTGGGGCGACTCGTGGTGCCGGAGGTGTGGAGGAAGAGTGCGACGTCGTAGGGTTCATTCACGATCTTGGAGACCGAGACCGAGTCACGGTTCAACTCGGTCTGAGTTGAAGAGAGAGTGACCTCTGAGTCGGCTTGTGACAATGTGGCTGTGATATGCGGAATCTTGAGCTTCGAAGCCGCTGATTGAGCCGGCTCGTTTCCTTCTTTTGACGTCAAGAGGAGTTTTGAGTCTGAGTCAGACAGGTAGAACTCGAACTCGTCGGAGGTGTACGCCGAGTTGAGTGGCGCCGCCGTGGCTCGGACTCGAATCACGGCCAAAAACATGATTATGAACTGTAATTAAATTAAAAAACAAAAAAAAACTACGATTAATACAATTCTAATCCTTTATTTCAGGCTATTAAATAGTAGAATTTTTCATAATCAAATAACAAAAACATAGGACATTTTAATAGGGCATGTTTTGTTCGAATTTCTAGTTTTTAGAAATTGGATAACTAAGAATTGTACAAATTCAGACCGTATTCTCAATTCAGTTTGAAATAAAAAATTTAAACTGTTTTGTGAAAATGTTTTCAAGAAACTAAATCAAGAATGCTCTTATTTTTCTCAAATTTTCTTGCGTTTTCTCAGCAAACAAACGGTACGACAAAACTATATATATATATATATATATATATCAAAGAGAAATCAAACCTCGACGTTATTAGGGAAGGTTAGAGCGACGACATCGCCGGCCGTAACACCGGCGGCAAGAAGGCGAGAAGCGGCCTTTTCAACCAGTTCTTGAAGCCAAGCGTACGTCAGATCGAACTTGCCGGAAACTGACACTGCTCGCCGATCGGGAAATTCGGAGGCCACCTGTTTGAGTAATCCGGTGAGCGTGAAACTTGCCATTTCTTTCACCGAAATAGAATCACTTCAGAGAGAGAAACAATGCGTAGATGGAGAAACAACGAATGAGATGTGAGTGAAGATGATAGAGCGGTTGTTATATATATATCCACACGCACAGACACCACATATGCGTGAAAAGATTTGGACAGGTACATTCGGTGGAGGTTGGTTTTGAAGATAAGGAGTGACGTATTGGGAAAACGTTTTGGCTGTGAAGAGCTGAGAAAAAAGAAGGGAAGGGGGGAGGAAGATTGCATACGTGGCGGGTTTTTGTTTGTCGTTTGAACGACTCTCCTGATGACCAATTTGAATTTGGCTTCTTCAAGACCAACTTGTAGCAAGCAATATACTATATTATAGGAGGTTGATCTTTGCATTTCTTTCTTTCTTTTTATATATTTATTTATTTATATTTAAAATTCACTTTTTTTTTCTTCTTACTATATATGGCAAAAATTTCACAAAAACTTCATTTTCTTATTTAATTATTTAAAACATTAACACATGAGTATCTGACAAACTTGTAAATTTTTTTTTTTTTGGTACGCATCTACTGATTTTTATTTTTTTTAATTAAATAAATATCTACAAAATTTTAGAATTGTCTATATTAAAATTACAGAAAACCCCACCATTGTCTCCCATCCCATAGTTTATATATATATATATATATATTTTTTTTATGTTATTGCTGTTAAAGGTGGCTATTTTATATATATATATATATATATATATATATTTTATGTTATTGCTGTTAAAGGTGGCTCCCTGACCCAAAAAGTAATGTGAGTGCTGGCGGCTTTAACAACATTAAAATAATGATATTTCAACCGTATAGCCGTGGTAATTGTGAATTTTTTTTTTTATTATTGACAATTTTGATATTTTATAGATATATAATTAAAAAACAAGGTACATAATACCAAAAAAACGAAAAAAGAAAATTTAAGGGGCAATTTGACTCCACTGAAACTTGAATGAATAAGTCCGAATTTGCACTCCTACATACGGAGTACTTTTTTGAGTCATTCTTGCACCATTAATGATTTTAACTTTTAAAAATATGTTGGTTCTCAATCATAACTTTTGGAAGCATGGTGAAAAGGAATGTACGTTGTTCTTTCCAAATAGAATTTCCCCGCGACAATAAAACATATGTAACCGTTCACTGAGGTCGAATAATCTCTAATGGCTCATCAAAATCCGAAAGGTCAAATAATCAAAATATTGATTGGAAATCCGACACATTTGATTAAATTTATATGAGAAAAAGATGATATAATAATAATATTATCATATTTAATGACTGTTGATGATGGATTCTGCGCAACCTGGATCTGATTTGACTTCCTAAATAAAGAGAAGAAAAAGTGATCCTACGAACACCGGTGTGTTACCGGTGGAGTAGGCTCCGACGAACAAGTCAGTGTGAATGATAATCTTCCTGGAAAAATCGAGAAATTGAGTTAGGGTTTATTGCGTACCTTAAAACGTTGATTCCCCCGCCTTTTTTATAGGGCTTAGGTTAAGATGTCACGTAGAATTACCTTATTGTAATCTGTAAACTTAATCATAATCGTAATCTTTAATCCTTATCACAATCTTTAATCCTTATCGTAATCTGTAAAGCTTATCTCAATCTGTAATCCTTATCGTAATCTGCGAGCCTATCTCAATAGTGCGTTAATTTGGTAATCTTCCCTTAATTATGGATATTTAAATTATACATCCATCAGTTGCCCCCCATTTCGGAGGATTGCTTGTCAAACCACCGGAACGTTAATTCCAAAATATTACACAATAATATATAGTTAGAATTGCAGAGCCTTGTCCATTAGCCTGACTTATATTGTCATTTCGTGAATACAGTCGGGGGTCATAGTATCACATTGGCAGCTCGTATATGTGGCAAGCTCGTATATTTGTCGTGTATATTTGTCGTAGTGCCACATTGGCAGCTCGTAAATGTGGCAAGCTGCCATGCTGGTAGTCTACCGTTATGTGGCAAGCTGCCATGCCATGCTGCCGTGGCAAGCTGTCCTGCTGGCATGCTGCCGTTATTTGTCAAGTTGCCCTGGCAGGCATGCTGCTTTTATTTGGCAAGCTGCCTTGCTGGCATGTTGCCTTTATTTGGCAAGCTATTATGCTAGCATGCTGCCGTTATTTGGCAAGCTGCCCTGCTGGCATGCTGCCTTTATTTGGCAAGCTGCCCTGCTGGCATGCTGCCTTTATTTGGCAAGCTGCCCTGCTGGCATACTGCCTTTATTTGGTAAGCTGTCCTACTGGCATGCTGCCGTTATTTGGCAAGCTGCTCTGCTAGCATGCTGCCTTTATTTGGCAAGCTGCCCTGCTGGCATACTGCTTTTATTTGGTAAGCTGTCCTACTAGCATGCTGCCGTTATTTGGCAAGCTGCTCTGCTGGCATGCTGCCTTTATTTGGCAAGCTGCCCTGCTGGCATGCTCCCATTATTTGGCAAGCTGCCCTGCTGGCATGCTACCGTTATTTTATACTTGATTTTATTGACATCTTTAGTCGGCTCGTCCCTTTAATAAGGAAAGTAGATTAAGACGAGTTTCACGTAACTCATAATAAGGTAAGTAGATGAATACGAGTTTCACTCAGCTCACCCTTTAACAGGGGAAATAGATTACAATGAGCTTCACCCAGCTCACCTTTTAACAAGGGAAGTAGATTACTATGAGCTTCACGCATCTCACCCTTTAACAAGGGAAGTAGATTAATACGAGCTTCACCCAGGTCACCCTTTAACAGGGGAAGTAGATTAATACGAGCTTCACCCAGGTCACCCTTTAACAAGGGAAGTAGATTACTATGAGCTTCACCCAGGTCACCCTTTAACAGGGGAAGTAGATTACTATGAACTTCATTCAGCTCACCCTTTTAACAAGGAAAGTAGTTAACCCCTCATCTTTTTACGAGGGAAGTAGATTACTATGAGTTTCACTCAGCTCACCCTTTAACAAGGGAAATAGTTAACCCCTCATCTTTTTACGAGGGAAGTAGATTACTATGAGCTTCACTCAGCTCACCCTTTAACAAAGGAAGTAGTTAACCCCTCATCTTTTTACGAGGGAAGTAAATTACTATGAGCTTCACTTATCTCACCCTTTAACAAGGGAAGTAGATTAATACGAGCTTCACCTAGGTCACCCTTTAACAGGGGAAGTAGATTAATATGAGCTTCACTCAGCTCACCCTTTAACAAGAGAAGTAGTTAACCCCTCATCTTTTTATAGAGGGAAGAAGATGAAGCTGACCCTTCATTCTTTTAAGGGGGAAAGAGGTATGGTCTTGACATGGGAGTCATCTCCTCTGACGGTTGTCTCGGGATGTTGGCAAATCGTTGACACTTGTCGCACTTTTGAACGAAGTCAAGTGCATCTTTCTGCATGGTGGGCCAATAGTATCCTAGTCGGATGGCCTTGTTAACAAGTGACCTACCCCCAGCATGGTTTCCACAAACTCCTAGGTGGATCTCCCTTAAAATGTAGTCAGCTTCCTCGCTAGAAACGCATTGTAAATACGGTATGGAGAAGCTTCTCTTGTTGAGCACCCCTTTGATAAGCGTATACCTAGCTGCCCGCATCTTGACCTTTCGAGTTTCTGCTCGGTCTGTTGGTAGCACCCCATCCTTGATATATCTGATGATAGGATCTACCCATTCCATACTCAATATCGCTTGTTGCACTTCAATTTGTCTCTCCTGAGATATAGATGGTTCGTCCAAATATTCCAGTGGTATATTCTTATTGATCTCAGGTTCAATGCAGTAGCTAGCCGGGCTAAAGCATCTGCTTTCCCATTCTCTTCTCGTGGTATTTGATGAATTGAGAATCTTTGGAAGTGATTCTTTAATTCCTTCACCTTTTGTAGGTAACTCTTCATCTTCTCGTCTCGTGCCTCATATTCCGCTTGAACTTGTCCAGCGACCAGCTCGGAGTTGGTGTAATTGCTCAACCCCTAGGGCATTTGCCACTTTTAATCCTGCTATCAAGGCTTCGTACTCTGCTTTGTTGTTGGTTGCGTTGAAACCAAACCAAAGTGCGTACTGTATACTTTCTCCTTCTGGGGAGACAAGAACAAGCCCGGCTCCGCTAACCTGAACATTAGATGACCCATCCACGAACAAGTCCCAGACTACTTCTGGGCCCATCTGCTCACTTAAACCTGGTTCTGTCAAAAATTGGGGTTGTTTCTCCTCTTCTGGAGGGGTAAACTCAGCTAAGAAATCAGCCAACACCTGAGCATTTACTGCTGTTCTTGGCTTATACTGAATGTCAAACTCTTCTAAATCTACTGACCACTTTATCAGTCGACCAGAGCTTTCTGGCTTGTGTAGGACCTGTCGAAGGGGTTGATCTGTTAGGACCACTATCGTATGCGCTTGAAAGTATGGTCTCAGTTTCCTGGCGGACACAATTAAAGCAAAGGCCAACTGTTCCATCCTTGGATATCTTTCCTCCGCACCCCTAAGTGCTCTGCTCACGAAGTATACTGGCCTTTGGACCCCTTCTGCTTCTCGTATTAGAGCTGAACTGACAGCTGTCGTGGAGACTGCAAGGTTATGTATAGTTCCTCTCCCGGTATGGTTCGAGACAGTAGTGGGGGAGAACTAAGGTATTACTTTAGTTCTTTGAACGCCTGCTCACACTCTGGGGTCCATTCAAACGCATTCCTTAGCACACGAAAGAAAGGTAGACACTTGTCAGTTGACCGAGAGATTAGCCTACTCAAGGCAGCAATCTTCCCTGTTAGTCATTGTAGATCCTTGGTTGATTTTGTCGATTTCATGTCAATGACTGCTCGGATCTTCTCTGGATTGGCCTCAATTCCTCTTCTGCTTACCATATATCCCAAGAACTTTCCTGAGGAAACCCCAAAGGCACACTTGCTGGGGTTGAGTTTCATCTTATGCCTCCTAAGTACCTCGAAGGTCTCCTGCAGGTCAGTCAAATGGTCTTCAGCTTTTAAGCTTTTCACCAACATGTCATCAACATATACCTCCATGTTTCTACCAATTTGATGCTTAAACATTGCATTCACTAGCCTTTGGTACGTTGCACCAGCGTTCTTGAGCCCAAATGGCATTACTTTGTAACAGTACAAACCTCTATCAGTGATGAAGGCCATTTTTTCTCTATCTGAGGTGTACATAGATATCTGGTTGTATCCAGAATATGCATCCATGAAACTTAATAGTTCGTGTCCAGCCGTTCCCTCAACGAGCATA